GGTTTGAGTGATTCAATTTTATCATCACCCTGTGTGTCTGGAGATGGGTTATTTCTCATGTGATCCATCCATCCATCCATCCATCCATCCATCCATCCATCCATCCATCCATCCATCCATCCATCCAGTGAGTTAACAATCTCTCTTGTGCTAGCTCTGGCTCCCCCTGAAAAGAGGGGGATAAGGCTGGGCCCCCGACTGTCCAATGTCTTAGCAGACAGACTGAGGATCTAGGAAGCAAGCCACTGAACCATCTGGCCTGGGAGCAGACCAGACTCCCAAAGTCTGTATTCTCTCACCTCTCTGAGCCCCAGTTTTCCAACCTGTAAAATGACAGTGTTACACTTGGCCTCAAGAGTAAGCTCTCCATGTGCAGGCATGAGGCTAAGATCTTTGATTCTGCTGCTTCTTCTAGATCAAAGCCTTGGGCAAGCCAGCTGCCTGGGCCTCTGCATTCTTGTCTGTAAAATGGGCTTGTGCAATATCTACCATCTGCTTGATGTGTAAAGAAACTCTGGCACTTAGCAGGTGCCTGGCATACCCACAAGCTGTTGTCAAGCTGATTCTGACTCATTGAGACCCTTTATGGGGTTTCTGAGGAAAGAAATCTTAATGGGAGGAGATTACTATAGAGTGGCTGGTGAATTCAAACAGCTGACCTTTTCGTTAGAAGCTAAGCAGGTAATGCACTCAAGCATGCCTTACTTGCCCCTCTTGTTCTTACTACCAGCATGTTGGAATCAAGTGATAGCTGGCCCTCCTCTTCAGGGGTAGTTTAATCGCACGGGAGGAGATTGCCCATCTTTCTCCCACGGAACAGCTGATAGATTCAAACAGCACGCCTTTGGGTTGGCTGCACGACTCCTTAGCATGGAGCTGTTGTTGTTGTTATTGATCCCTGCTGAGTAGAGCACGACTCATAGCGACCCTGTGAACAAAAAGCCTGAAGTTTTTCTATAACTATCATCATTTCTCAAAGTTCACAGAGTTTCCAGAGGCATGTTGTTTAGGACGTAGGTGCTGCTCCAGCTTCCAGGATAACGGAGCTACCAGGTACTTATCAGCTAGCATATTTCTCATCATCTTCCCTCCCAGCCTTTGAGCTAAGGAAAGAGTGGGCTTACGGAGGCTGCTGCTACAAATGCCCGTTTGCTGTCTATCCCTTGCTGCTGACCGCCCACGGCTCTCCGGAGGCAGGGCTGTCTCCAGCTGCCATGGCCCTCCCCACAAAGCCATTGAGAGTTAACGGCCAAAAGCAGCCCCAGGTGGGTGGTCAGACAGGCAGCTGCTCAGGGGGGCTGACCCAGCAGCCTGAGCACCCTTGGATCCGTTCTCTGGAGACACTGGGCTGGTGGATGAGAAGCCCATAAACTTCTCTGGAGCTATTATGTGGGGAGAAAATGGGAGTGGTTGGTAGGGTGAGGGGAGTCGCTGCTTAATCATAAAAGACCCTCTTCTGTAAGAAAGCGCCGTGTCTCTGGCCTGGCTGAATGCTGGGCCCAGATGGAGGGCCTAATGGCCTGTGAATGGCTCCATTTCATGGATGAGAAAGCCGAGGCGCAGAGGAGGGGCCGTAGGGTCACGGAGCTGCAAGTTGGCAGAGCACCTTTCCCTGTGCTCATTGCCTGGGGCTGGAGGCACAACCACAATGCCACCCTACCACTTGCTAGCTATGTCCTTTTGTAAATCTGTTGAGCTTGGTGAGCCTTGGTTTCTTCATCTGTGAAATGCACACATGAGGGGATTGTGGGAGGGTGACAAGGCCACCATACTGGGAACTTGGCACGGGTCTGACACAGCAGTTGTGTTATTCAGCCTCTGAATAAACAGTCAGATAACCCTGGTGTCCAGTCCAGACACCCAGCTCCCTGCTGGATTGTGCGCTGAGCTAGTGAAGGACGAGGGGGTACAGAAGCCAAAGCCTCTGGACCTGACTCTGGTGGGGCCCCTGCAGGGCAGTGCCTAGGCATCTGAATTCAGGGCTGCCCATCCCGGGCCCTCCATGCTCACCACCCCTGGAAGGTCCAGTCTCTTGCAAATAGTTGGACTCTTCGCTGTTATCAAGCAATGACAATGGCAGTCACTACACGCCAGAGAGCTCATGCTTTCCACACTTAATCCTCACAGCAACCACGTGGGTGACGGCCCCAGTTATGCCCATTTTACAGATGAGAAAATGGAAAACTGAGGAGTGTGGGCTACCCAGACGTAGAAATGGAACCTGCATGGTTGTCTCTGAGGTTGTTTTTTTGATTTTTTTTTAAATTATTTTATACTGGTTTACAAGTTCATAAAGTTCATATGCATTTTTTTCACACTGGACTCTTTCCTTTACCAATCCATCCCTCCACCCATCAAATTGTATGACCCTATATTTAAGCTCCCCCCACCCTTTCATGGAGAGCTACTGATAAGGAGTTGCACTGCCAACCCAAAGGCACAGAGTTCAAATCCACCAGCTGTCCCCACATGAGAAAGATGGGCAATCTTCTTCCATGTGATTTATACCCTGCCCTGCATGGCTAATATTGGATTCAACTCAAACTTCAAAATAACCTGTTTAAAGAAAAAGGAACTGGGCTGTTGCCAGCAGCTTGTGCTTGACTACTATGCTAAGCTAAAGGTCAAACCCACACAGTGGTGCTGTGGAAGAAAGGCCTGGTGATAAATGCCACAAAAATCAGCCATCGGAAGAAGCCCTGTGGAGCTTTCTGCTCCTTGACATGGGAGGTCGTCATGAGCTGGAATCAACTTGACAGCAACAGGTTTAGTTTTGGGGTCCAAAGATGCAATAATCATCCATGGTTTTGGACCAAGGGGCAAGGCCAGGCCTCTCGAAGGCAGATTCTCCCAGGAGGCCCTGCTCAAGTCTGGGTTCTAGTATATTCCATGGATCCAAGGAAGCAGAGATAAAGGTGACATTCCATAAAATACTGGTGCAGCAGAGTCAGAAGTAGCTATTGAATTGCCACACAATTCTATGTAGTGAGTACTTCTCTGTGCCCATTTTACAGATGCAGAATCTGAGGTTCTAAGCTCTCTATCTCCACAACAGCCAGAAGAACTGGGATTGTAGCTGATGCACACTATACAGGCCCCACCTGCCGTTACGTAAACCCTCCAAATGCTGGAAGGCAGCCCAGATGTCCCAGCTGTGTCATTGCAGGAAAGAAACTTATTTCCAAGTTCTTCTCTACTCATCTGTTCACTGGTGCTTGGCAGCGCACCCTCCCAGGGCAGAGGTAAATGAGGGGCTGGGCACACAGTAGGTGCTCTGGATTGCACACAGCAGGTTCTCTGCAGGCTTTTGGTAAACAGTTACTTGAATCTGTGGTCTTGTTGGGGTTTTAAAATCATTGTTGTTATTGTTGAAACTCAATAGGTTTCCAGAACAGCTTAGTTGAATGGGATTTCTCTTGAGAAGCAACTTGTGGATTTGAACCACTGCCTTTGAGTTGGCAGAACTAAGTTATTGTAGTCCTCCAGAATGAACAGGGGGCGTGGCTCGTGAGTTAGAGGCAGGCACTGCTGGTGAATTGTATTGGCGCTGGGGGGTGGGGGGACAGACAGCTCTGCAGCTAAACATGGTCAATCCAGGTAATAGTATCATAGTATTAGACTTGCTCTTCCCAGGACAGCCCAGTTCTGCCCAATATCATAACCTGGACTGTGCCCTCTCAACCTACCATGGGGGCTTGTGTTGGCCTTGGGGACAGGATCCTCAGAAACAGATCAAAACTCCACAGCTGAAAGAAGGGGATCCCAAGTCCCTCCTTCCCCCACTGCCCTTCAGCCACTGTGTGGACTTGAACAGCCCCTTTCTTTTCTCCTGGCCTCAGTTCCCCCTCTGTAAAAGGGGTTGCACTAGTTAATCCCCAAAGGGCTTTTCCAGCTCTGAGACCTGAAGACAAAGAAGAGGAGCATGTTCCCCCCCACACAACCTCACACACTTACACCCAGCTTCACCCTTCTCACAAAATAACTCTCCCTCAATGCCCGTCAGTGATCTAATTTACCTTTTAAACACATAAAACCTAGAAGGAAAAACAAAGTTGTCCTAGAACGAAATTCTGAGGCATGGTGACCTGTGTGTCTCAGAGAAGCACTGTGTCCCACAGGTTTTCAAAGACAGGTTTTTTTTTTGTTGGTTTTTTTTTAAGTAGAATGTAAGGCTTTTCTTAAAAACTGCCTCTGGATGGATTGAACTTCCAGCCTCTCCAGTTGTTTGCCAAGTATGTTAACCACTTGCATCACCCAGGAACCCCAGAAGAAACATTAAGAATAACTAGTGGCAAGCAGCTGCACTGAAATCTTAAAGAGGATTTCATCTCCTCCGGAGGATGGGCAAAAAGGGTCAGCTATGGGTTGGTTCCAATCCTATGGTACACCACAACAATGCAATGTTCTGTACTGTTGAGTCAGAACTGGCTCACAGCTGACCCTCCAGCGTCTTGGAGTAGCCAATGGATTCAAATCAAGCCTTTGGGTTGGCAGGCAACCTCTTACCACTAGGCCTGCAGAGCTAATTCAATAGTATCACTTAACTAGAAGAAATAAGATCCAGAGAGCGCAAGGGACTTGCTGAAAGTCACACGGCCAGGCTCAGAATCCAGGAGTTCCCAACATTCACAGAAGACCTAGGTCAAATATTCCCTCTTCAAGCTGTTGGAAGGGCATTTCTGGAGCCCCTGAGAGGTCACGGGCAGGGGATGCAGTAACTGTGACTGTCCTCTTAACAGTAACTAAGATGCCCAGTCTCTAAGCTAGGAGGGGACCTCTCTGGGAAAGAACAATGAACCAGAGGCATTTATTGGTCACTGTCCAAGCTACAGGCCAGACAGCCTCCAAAAGGCCAAGCTGCACAGGACCCTCCCTGCTCTACTGCACAATTTCAGAATTTAACCGAACATGTGTTCTTGGGCCAACTTCAGAAACTATAAGCAACACAAAACCCTCTCCAACAATTGAAAATCAGCAATATTTGTTGTTGAAGCTCTCACCTGTATTCCTGGGGAGAGGGGTGGTGGTTTGGCCCGGAGTTCCGAATAATTCCTGACATTATGGATGAAATGTCACTATCTATCATCTCCTTGGAAAGGAAAAATAAGCACAAAAGAAAATTCCCATCAGTGATGATGTAGCCCTGGTAGGTAGAAACTCAGTTTTCATACTTCAAAGGATAGAGTGAAAAAAATAAAAAACACAACACCAAAAAAACAAACCAACCCCACCAAAAAAACCCCTAACACCCCACCCACAAACAAACAACAACCAAAAAAAACAACCCTACACACAAAGCTAAGATAATTTTTAAAAGTTCTAGAAGGATATTTGTATCTCCAGGGTCACTTCCCAGGAAAATCCTAGAGGGTTTTAGAAGTTTGCATAAGAAAAGTATTTCCTTCTTTGGAATTTGTGGGGTGGAAGGGCATCATGAATTACCTAGAACCCCCAAATCAGGTTTTAAGAAATATCAACTCAAGAAATAAGAAAAATGATAAAAACCTGATTCCTTTCCTAGCCTTCTGTTTGCAGCCACAATTAAGTTTTGCTCGCTAGGGAAATGAGAAATAAACCTCAAAAGGGCAATTTGATAGACTGTGCAAATTTCTCTGCGGAGATGACTATTCCCACTTGTTTAAGGAAGAATTCCCATAGGGCCCCTGCCCTGAAAATGTCAGCTGAAGGGCCAGAGACGTTTCCAAGCCAGTGTAATCCTGCCTCTAACACAGCACCACCTGGGGGGGGGGGGGGGGGGTGGAATTCTTGGAGCGTTCCTAAATGTCTTAGACCGCAGATCTGAAATGCACACAGAAACCCACCAAAGAGTCTCAATTCTGCCCCCGGAGTCACTGAGGGTTCCGGGTAGAAGGGAAGGGGAACAGGGGAGGCGGCCCTAGGATGCAGCCTGGGAATGCAACCTGGGTTGCTGCCGGGAGGAGGGGTCCAGCAGCCCTTCGAGGTGGTACCTGGAGCTGATCCTGGCTGGGCCTCCGCAGCAGGCACTCTGGGGAGAGCTGGCCTCTCGGAGGGGGGCTCTCTCGCGTCGCCCCTCACGGCCCAGCAATTTGGCTGCCGCCGCAGCGCGAACTGTTTTTAAATTTCCCTCTCTGGAGCTGTCCAGCTCGGAGCATGCGCAGTAGCCGTGCGGGGGGGCTTCCCCCCCAAGGGTCAGTTACAGGGCAGGGTCAAGGGGATTGCAGCGGGTGTTTCCCAGCAGCCGCGAGTGTAGCACTTTCTGGGGATCTGAGGCGGGGCCGCAGGGACGGGGAGTCCCCCTCTGCAAACTTGGTCTGCAAGAGCAGCCTCTGCATGCTAGCCAGTATGCGCTGAGATTGCAATTGGCAGGGTGATTTAGGCTCACGGAAGCAAGTTGGAAAAGGATGCAGGTTGCATGAGGATTTATAGTCCATCTTGGGTCCAGGAGAAAAGGAGGAAAGTGGGCAGGGAGGTCAATTTCAATCGCCTTTCTGCCCCAGGAGGGCGGGCCTGGAGGCCGAGGGGCACCCCAGGTAGAGGCGCATTGCGACCACCTGT